CTAGATACTGATGACAAGATAGACAACAACGCGATGACAAATATTGGTGGAATGATAGAATATATAGTCCAGATAATCAACAGAAACGGAGACAGCTGTGAATACAATCAGTGTATGTGTTCTGGGTGTATGCGCGTGGTATGTATGGATTTGTAGTCCTTCAAACACTGTAGTTCGTGTGTGAGAGTTCGCTGGTCAACTACAGTGCCATCTAGTGGCCAGACCCAGTCATGACAAAGTGTGTATGGGTGTTTCCCAGTTTTGAGTTGCAGCTGGAAGGGCATCCGCAATGTAAAACATATGCTGGATAAGTTGGCAGTTCATTCCGCTGTGGTGACCCCTGATGAATAAAGGGACTAAGCCGAAGGAAAATGAATGAATGGGCTAAAATTATTTTATTGATTTTATTCTAGCTGAAATAAACCAAATAAGACTTTCTCCAGAAGAAAAAACATTATAGGAAGTACTCTGAAAAATTCCTTGCTCAGCTCTGTTATAATATACTCAAAACAAAGATAAAAACGTGTCAATGGATGGGAAAGAGTTATTGTGCATCTTACCCTATACTAGTAATGCATTCCATGTGGATGAATAACAGTGTTTAATTATTGTGCCCTGTATATCAATCAGGTTCAACCTACATTTTCAAAGGCAATTCCTACTGGAAATTCACACATCCAGGCTCCGCCCCTGTTGAAGGATACCCTCGTCTTTCAGCCTCTGATTGGCTGGATTGCCCTCAGGACTCCTCCTACAGTTCCGCCGACATCTCTCTCATCTCGCAGTTTGGCCAACAGGAGCTGCACGAACAGAAAAAGCAAACAATCATCAACCAGATCAGACACAGTGAAATTAACAAACCTCAGCACTGGGACTGTCCCTGCCAGAACACTGCAGGGACTCAAAGGGGGCATGTTTTACTGTTAGCCTTTCTGCTTCTGCTCACTGTCACTTGTTAATAAAGGGACAGTTGACCCCAAAAAATGAAAATTCTGTCACCATTTTTTTTTAATACAAAAGGAGATATTTTGAAGAATGCTGGACACCTATAACCCTTGACCTCCATGGTAATATTTTCTCAATTATAGAAGTCAATGTCCACCGATTTCCAACATTCTTCAAAATATCTTCTTTTGTTAAAAAGAAATGCTTTTTTCTCTCTTTATTTTTTTAAAAGAATTGGGCATTTTTCTCTCTGTTTATTTCTATTTAGGAAATGTAATATATATATTTTTTTCTTTATTTCTTTTTTGTTTCTTTTTGTTTACTTCTATTTTCTATTTAAGAATAAAAATTCTGTCTCCATTTTTTTAACACAAAAGAAGATATTTTGAAGAATGTTGGACACCTGTAACCATTGACTTACATAGTAATTTTCCCTACTGTCGAAGTCAAAGGCCCCTGATTTTCAACATCCTTCAAAATATCTTCTTTTACTAAAAAAAAAAATGTGTTATTTTTCTTTGTTTATTTCTATTTTAGGAATATATTATTTAAAAAATGATTTATTTTTGTTTATTTCTATTTTTTTATTTAAGAATCAAATTGTTGTCACCATTTTAACACAAAAGAAGTTATTTTGAAGAATGTTGGACACCTGTAACCATTGACCTCCACGGTATTTTTTTCGTACTGTAGAAGTCAATAGCCACTAATTTCCAACATCTTCTTTTTTTAAAGGAAATGGAAATTTTTTTCTTGCTTATTTTTGTTTTATAAATATATTATTTTATTTATTTTTTATTTCTTATTTCTTTTTTATTTCTTTTTGTTTCTTTTTATTTTTTGTTTAAGAATGAAAGTTTTGTAACCATTGACTTCCATAGTATTATTTTTCCTACTATGGAAGTCAATGTTCACCGAGTTTCAACATTCTTCAAAATATCTTCTTTTACTAAAAAAAGTAATGGGCATTTTTTATATTAGTTTATTTTTATTTTAGTTGCTAAAATAAATTCAGGGTCTATTAACTTCTCATTCATTTTAAACCACATGTTTAGTATAAAACAAATATCAACAACTGACCTGACGTTAATCATTTATATCTGCTCACTGGGGGCAAATATTTATTGTGCCAGGGTTTAAAAGTAGAATGACATCAGACGTATTTACAAGACTGTCATAAAGTCACTTTAAACCAAATGTGATTTATATGATTTTTACACATATTTTCTGCAATGCTAGAATTAATGAATACCTTTTTCACAGTCTTGGGTTAATACAGTTAAATGCAAAATTATTAACCCTCCTGTGAAATTCGAATACTTTTTCAAGGATTAATTTTAATAATGTATTTTTATTTCTTCGCCATGATGACAGAACATAATGTTTTACAATTTATTTTGCTATTTAATTGGATAATATATTTTGTGAGATACACCTCACAGCAAGAAGATCGCTGGTTTGAGTCCCGGCTGGGCCTGTTGGCATTTCTATGTGGAGTTTGCATGTTCTCCCGTGATGGCGTGGTTTTTGTCTGGGTGCTCCGGCTAAATTGGCCATAGTTTATGAGTGTGAATGAGAGTGTATGGGTGTTTCCCAGTACTGGGTTGCAGCTTGAAAGGCATCCTCTGCGTAATACATAAACTGAAATAGTTAGGGGTTCATTCCACTTTTATCAGTGGTTATCAGCTGATAGATGTGGGCCAGTAGGGGCCTTCTGTGCCTCCTGGTAGGCTCAGAAGGCTGTTATCATCCATCCACATGTTTAATCAGCTATACTAATGGGGAAGACTCCAGATCTGTTTTTCATTACTGTGACTGGTGGGTTTATGGCTGGGGTAGGGGTAGGCATTAATCAAATATAATTAATGGGAAATTTCATAAAATAATATGCAGCCGTATGTGAACCATGTGGATGGATGATAACAGCCTTCTTAGCCAACCGGGAGGAGCAGAAGGCCCCTACTGGCCCATATCTATCCGCTGATAACCACTGATAACGCCTATTCAATTGAGTGATAACATTTAAAGCGGCTGAGTATTTAGCTTTAAGTGCAATTTAAAGACTTAATAACTAGGTTATTCTGCTAAGGGACCTGGGGCGGCCAAGCTGGAGCAAGTACTCTCGTCCCCCAGGCTTTGCAAAGGTTGGGGAAATTTGAAATTGAACCAAAAAACAACCTATTACAAAACAACCCATTACAATTGGCTTAATATTGGCAAGGAAAATTTGGGAATTGCAACCAGCAAAACCTGGAAGTTAAAAAAAGAAAATAAGTAGGTTAATTAAGCTACGTTACTAATTAAAGGGGAACACATTTAAGGATCTGCTTTTATTTCAGACAAACTAAGAGAAACTGAGAAAAAAATTCCTTGTTTTTTTCTTGAGAAATAAAAAAAATTTCACTGGAAGGCTAATAATTGTATGCTGCATTAGACGAAATAAAAATATCTTATTTACATATTGTAAATATGTTTTTTTTTTTCATCTGCCAAGTGATTAAATATAATGTAAATTTCCATTAATCATAAAAAAGACTGTGAAAGTGTTACTACTGGGGGGGAAAAAACTTATTTGAAGTGATGTACTTCTATTTTGAAAAAGAATGGTAAAAAATAACAGGGGTGTGTGTTTCCTAAACAACGACGTAACTCGTGGCTGAACTATCACAGTATGATGCATCACTTGGGAAAAGAACGATGTAGTGACGAGTGTTTCCCAAAACCCCTAGTTTCTCTGACGCAGATCCATCATTTAAACCACATTAGTTATAACGTAAAATGCCCATAATGATGCTCTAAACGGGATGGAGTAGCTACTTCTTTAGAGAAGAACCCCGTCATTTCTTTGTGCAAGTTTTACATGCACACGCATTTAACATAAAAAATAATTAAAATTAAATTTAAAATAAAAAGATTTGGTAAAAACATGCAGTCGCTTTCCATATTAATTAAAATGTATGTAAATGGCACATATAGAGCCTGTGCTTCCTTTACAAATATTATTGAGAACATTACATCTATTCTAAAACATAAAGCCACTTACAAAAGCTGACACGTATTCTAATATCATACATAAATCATATAAATAAATAAATAAATAATGAGGCTATTTATAATTTTTTTATTTATATTTATTATTTATTAGTAAATAAAAAAAAATCCTTCTATTATTCATTCATTTTCTTGTCGGCTTAGTCCCTTTATTAATCCGGGGTCGCCACAGCATAATGAACCGCCAACTTATCCAGCAAGTTTTTATGCAGCAGATGCCCTTCCAGCCGCAACCCATCTCTGGGAAACATCCACACACACATTCACACACACTCATACACGACGGACAATTTAGCCTACCCAATTCACCTGTACCGCATGTCTTTGGACTGTGGGGGAAACCGGAGCACCCGGAGGAAACCCACGCGAAGACAGGGAGAACATGCAAACTCCACACAGAAATGCCAACTGAGCCAAGGCTCAAACCAGCGACCTTCTTGCTGTGAGGCGACAACACTACCTATTGCGCCACTGCCTCGCCCATCCTTCTATTATAATAAAGTATTAATGATGATGTTGACGATAGTATTATTATTATTATATTATTAATTATATTTAGGGATATTTTTTATTTATTTTAATTTTTTTAGAAGTTTACTTTTACAATTTGACACATTCAAATCCCTTTAGAAATGTTCTAACCAACAGGCTCATGTCATATACAGTACAGATACTTAATAAATAACCCACTATAATATAAAATAATTAACGTGTTATGTTTTTTTTTTTTTTTTTTTGTCTCCACAAGCTTTGAAGACGTAACATAAATTCCGCTTTTAAATAATAGGTCACCTAGAGCTTTCATTATGAGGCTGTGTTCAAAATGGCATCAATGTTTTCAAAGTGCACTGCAAAGGGAGCGCAATTGTAAACATGAAGACCGCTAAAACTGAACTGTAAAAATACTTTGAAAACAAATTACACCTAAGAGAGATGACCTTAATGCTTTTTTGTTTGTAACAATTCCAACTTTGAATGTTAAGATGTTCTAAATGAATAGGGCATAGTTGGGATAAGTGGGAATAGAACACAGTCAGGAACTAAAAAACTCCAGAGCTGTAGTTGCAGTCATAGAAGTTTGCGAATGTTTATTGGAACGATGAATCTGGGAAACGGCAAATCAACCCACTATTTTTGTAACGACCAAACCTGTGACCTAAGTTGGTTTGATGGTTTTCGGAAACGCACCCCAGATCAGTCTACTCCAAATAAAATAAAAGATTTATGTGTTTTAATATATTTTATGGAAACATTAAGAAGTATTATTTGTATTATTTTAAAGCATGTATACTCAAAAACTACAGCAATAAAAAGAAAAAAAAGACATTAGCCTATTTCATTGTCATGTTGTGTCATCTCAGGGATTCCCTACTCCACAAAGTCCACCATATTATCAACCCCATCCATTTCAATTTACTGGCATTACATGGGCAAAAACCAACAACTGTTGCATCACTTCAGAAACTCCATGTGTTGATATGTGATGATAAGCAGTTCTATATAAAGCTCTTGTTTCCTCTGGAGTTGCTGTATCATTTTTGTACATCATATTTCTGCTATAATGTCTGCTTTTGTGGTTTTGGCTGCTCTGGGTCTGCTTGGGACCCTGCCAGACTGTGATGAACTCACAAAACCACAGAGCTTGGAGGATGACTACAAAAGCGTAAGTGCATTTTTCATATTCAAAATTATATATTTTTTATTTTATTAAACTTTTTTCATATACAGATGAAGTCAGAATTATCAGCCCCCATCCCCCTTAAAAAAATGTAAAAAATTTCGGGGGGAATTATTAAAGGGGCTAATAATTTTGATCTAAAAATAGCTTTAAAAAAATAAAATCTGCTTTTATTCTAGCCGAAATTAAACAAATAAGACTTTCTCCAGAAGAAAAAATATTATCAGACATACTGTGAAAATGTCCTTGCTCTATTAAACATAATTTGGGAAATATTTAAAAAAGGAAAGAAAAAAATCAAAGGGGGGCTAATAATTATTTTTTTGTATTTGCGTTTATTGGAGTATTTCTTATTATTATTATTATTGAAGGAAAAGAGAATTTACATACAGTAAAACTGTAAACATTAGTTACCTTCTTTCTATTTTTATTATAACAACCCAAAACCCATCCCCAATAGACAATCGAACAGAAATAGCTTAAAGGGGCTAATAATTTTATCCTTAAAATGGTTCATAAAAAAATTAAAATTAACAGAGCACATTTTCACAGTATGTCTGATAATATTTTTTCTTCAGGAGAAAAGTCTTATTTGTTTTATTAATAATAATAATAATCATAATAATAATATTATTATTATTATATTATTATATTTTATTAAGCTAATAATAAAAGAATAAAAGCAGTTTTTAATTTTTAAACAGTATTTTAGGGTCAAAATTATTGACTCCTTTAAGCTATATTTGTATCAATAGTCTACAGAACAAACCATCCTTACACAATAACTTGCCTAATTACCCTAACCTGCCTAGTTAACTTAATTAACCTAGTGAAGACGTTAAATGCTGTATAGAAGTGTCTTGAAAAATATCTAGTCAAATAATATTCACTGTCATCATGGCAAAGATAAAATAAATCAGTTATTAGAGATGAGTTATTACAACTATTATGATTAGAAATGTGCTGAAAAAAATCTCTCCGTTAAACAGAAATTGGGGAAAAAATAAATGGGAGGTCTAATAATTCAGGGGGCTAATAATTCTGACTTCAACTGTATATATATATTCTGTATTTAGGCTCAAGAGTTTCATATTAAATCTAATTACATCTCAAAATGTTAAAAATGTTTTTTTTTTCCAACAGATCATGGGTAAATGGATCTTTCATAAAGGTATAGCAGATCATCAGTTATTCACGCAGATCCTGAAGACGGTAAACAGCTCATGGATTGAGTTTGGCCCGAGTCCTCTGGAAAACACTGTGACTCTCAGTCAAGGAAACATGCTGTAAGACTCAAAACCCAATACAGTAAATCTCATCATTATGACCAGTGTTGGGGGTAATGCATTACAAGTAACACGAGTTATGTAATCAGATTACTTTTCAAGTGACTAAAAATGCTGGGTTTCACACAATTCAAGTTGTCCCAACAGCAAGAAGGCCGTTAATTCATTTTTTATGTGGATATTATGTGCATATTCTTTCCGTTGGCGTGGGTTTCTTCTGGGTGCTCCGGTTCCCCCCACAGTCCAAACACATAATCTATAGGTGAACTGATGAACTAAATTGGCCATAGTGTGTGTTAATGTAAGTGTGTATGAATGTTTCCCAGTACCGGGTTGCGGCTGGAAGGGCATCCGCTGCGTAAAACATAAGCTGGAATAGTTGGCGGTTCATTCCGCTGTGATGACCTCTGAAATAGAGACTAAGCTGGAGGAAAAAGAATGAATAAATGATATTTATTTTATATTTTGTTCTATCTACAGCTGTATTCTTCATATCTAAAGGTGTAAATATCTTTTATTTGTTCTTATTTTCTATAGCTATAACCTCTGTTACCTTTATAACATTTTCTGCATATTTACTTCTTATTGTATTCCATAATTTAGTCACAGACGGTTATAAGCATTTAACTGTATATCATACTGTAAAAATAAGTAAAAGTTTTGTCAAGCAAGCCCAGCTCAGTCAGTAACGCAAAAGCAACATAATGCATTACCTTCATTAAAGGTGCCGTAAGTTTTTGCCTCTTCCAAACCATAATAATACCATATTATGCTTGCAGATATTTCAGAAACATGCTAAGTGAACATTCATGTTTATCTGAAAAACAATGCTGAATCAGATAATAATAATAATAATTAAAGCTGCAAGCAGTGATGATAGGGACCTCGCACCCGGGCTCAACGCCGCCCGGTGGCCTCAGGATGACAGTGAACAGCGAACAACATTTATTTAAGTCGATATATAAATAACCTGAGTAAATCACAGATTAATGCCAAACTTCCTCCTGTCAGCAGGTGGCGCTATAACTATGACTCAAGATTGGCATGTGGATGCCATCAGTAGAGAAATCCTATTTACCATGTGAATTTTCGGGCAGATCAGACATTGTTTGGCTGAGTTATAATACCTTCTTGTTTTGTGGCGAATCGTCAAAGTTCGTGAGGCCCCCACGGACACGCCCGTCAACGAAAACTGTAGATCTTCGCAATTTAACATCGCTAAGGCCTTTAGATTACAAAACCCAATTTTGGTGTTGATCTGATAAAATCCCTAGCAGTAGTTCGTTAAAACCCTTGTTGGGTTTAAGATTTCGCTCCAAGAGACATTTTTGTAGGTTTTGGCGTGTTTGAGGTCTGTGCCAATTTTCGTATGTGTGCGTAATTCGTAGCTTGGGGGCCAGTCTGTCAAAAGTGCATAGGTGGCGCTGTCGAGTCATTTTGCCATGCCCACTTCCGAAACCAATAACAAATGTAAATGTTCACCACTCCTGCGGCGTGTGCAAAGTTTCGTGAATTTTCGGGCATGTTTAGCCCCTCAAAAGAAGAAGAAGGATAAACAGAGCAATTACAATAGGGCCTACGCACCGTTTCAGTGCTCAGTCCCTAATAATAAAAATGTATTTCTATAGCGCCTTTTCAGAGCTCAAGGACACTTTACAAAGAATGTGATAAAGAGAGTTAGTACAAGCAGACATTTGAAGAGACAGCATTAAGTACACAAACATACAGGAAGTCAAATATAACAAACTGAAATTACAAAAACAAGACCTAAGAGACAGATAAGCAGAGTGCAGGTGGATCAGATAAAGTGGTCAGTTTGTCAGATCAGAGGTGAAGCATTCAGAAAATAAGTGAGTTAAGATTTAAATTCTGAGATATTATTAGCAGAGCGGAGTGAGCGTGGTAGAGAGTTTGAGTTTGGGTTCAATAACACTAAATAATCTGCCCCCATTGAAGAGAGGCGGTACCTAGGGAGAGGAGTCAGAGGAACGTAATGAGCGAGTAAGGGTGTAGGGGACAAACATGTTGCAAAGATAAGAGGGAGCTAGGCTATTTAAGGATCTAAATGCAAGGAGGTAAATTTAGAATTTACGGTATGCAACTTGGAGCTAATGGAAGTTGTACAAGATTGGGGTTATATGAGCAGAACGTTTAGTATTAGTGAGTATCCTAGCCGCAGAGTTTTGAATATTTTGTAATCTGGAGATGAGGCCGGTAGGCGGACCAATGAAAAGGGTATTACAGTGCTTGAAGAGACAAATGCATGGACGACAGTCTCAGATTTAATACACATTTAATGTGAGACTGAAAGAAAAGTGTGGGGTCGAAGGTTACACTGCAGAGCGGCTGCCAGCAGCTAGCTCTCTGCAACTCTCACATGGTCGCCCACTGAAGCTAAGCAGGGCTGCGCCCGGTCAGTACCTGGATGGGAGACCACATGGGAAAGCTAGGTTGCTGCTGGAAGTGTTGTTAGTGAGGCCAGCAGGGGGAGCTCAATCTGCAGTCTGTGTGGGTCCTAATGCCCCAGTATAGTGAAGGGGACTCTATACTGCTCAGTGAGCGTCGTCTTTCGGATGAGAAGTTAAACCAAGGTCTCGACTCTCTGTTGTCGTTAAAAATCCCAGGATGTAAGAGTAGGGGTTTAACCCTGGCCTCTGTCCATCATGGCCTCCTAACTCTCCCCATATCATAATTGGCTTCATCACTCTGTCTCCTCTCCACCAGTCAGCTGGTGTGTGGTGTGCGGTCTGGCACAAAATGGCTTCTGTCGCGTCATCCAGGTGGATGCTGCAATTATTATTAATTATTATTATCATTCTTACCTAAAGTTATCCTGCTTTGAACATGTGTTTTCCCTGCCTTTCCAGTACTAGACTAAGAAGTGACACATATATTTAGTTCCAAATGAGGTCATTAATTAGCAAATAATGTAAATATTAGGAACATAAACATTAGTTGAGCAGGTTACATTGTAACCCGGTGTCCCAACAGCACGCTACCTGATGAGATTTGCAGTGATGAGCAATTTGGCTATTTGCACCTGACGAAACATAATAGAAATATAGCCATTCAGAAGCATTTAATACATATTAACCCTCTTTAACATTATAAAATGTACATGTTCAGTTCATAAGTTCAATTTCAAATAGGTTATTTTATTTTCAAGATCTGAGGTGAGCTATCTTCTGCTTTCAGTATTATAGCAATAAATGTCAAGTGAAATGGCATTCAAATTCACATTATTAGCATTTATCACTGAATAAAGCACGTGAGGTGTACCTGAGGTTATCATTGCCAGTTTTCTGTTGTTTACCTGTGAGAAATTAAAGCCATTCATAATATATCAATTAGAGGTGTTGGTTAGGACAAAAACTCCTTTCAATATGGAGAATATTCCTTTATCAGGTGCTGTTGCTTTTATGTAGGACACAGTTTAAATTACTCGCTCCTGTCCTCAATCTGGCAACCTGCGCTTGCGTTTGTTTTGATCCAGGAGTGCAATACCTAGTTCAAACATAAAGTGTCAAACTTACATACTGCACCTTTAGAAAGTAAATAACTTGTTTGTATTAATGCATTACTTTTAAAAGAATTTTCCACAACACTGATTATGAGCATCAGTCTGAATCTGACTTCTCTCCCTCTCAGAAATGGAAAGTGTGAATTTAGCACCACCAATGCAGCTATTAAAGACAATACCATTTATTCTGATCGTAAGTTAACAAAAGCAATATTTCCAGTTGAAAATTAGTTCTGAACACTAATAAATGTCATCCTGCTGTTTGTTCCTCAGACAACGGCACATTATCAGAGGGAAAGTTTCTGCTGTCCTGTCCTGACTGTCTCACCATAAGCTTCGTCAGTCAGTTCAAAAACGAGACCATTAAGACGCTGTACTTTTTCAGTAAGTCACAGACATCACCAAACACATGCAGCTCCAGAATGACATGTTCCTTTAAGGACCTGAGAAATGACTTCCAAAAGCATTTTTACAGCTGTTAAGGCAGTTTTCATTATTATCACATTAACTTTTATGTCACATGCTTGAATTTACACTTACTACGCTTACACTTTTTAACATTTTCTTCAATATATCAAACTAGTAACAATAACAAAAAACCCAGGTAGCAAAGAATTCTGGCCAGCATTTGGCCTAAAGCTGGCACAGCAGGTATTCGTCCGGCACTGTTATATAGCATGTGGGCCAAACATGACCCAGGTTTGGCAGAGGTAGTGTCTTTAAGGCGGCACACAAGACTTGTGGCCAGATATCAAATGTAGTATTTGGCCCAGATGTTAAAAATGTATATGTGGGCCACGTAAGCTTGGCCTAACTTGACCCACTTTTAAAATACATTCCACCAATTAGATCACTTAGAGAAAAAGCACGGCCATAAAGTGAAATGCTACATGGGTTTATCAAATTAACTGCAGTCGTGACACACCAACATATCTGGCCCAGTTCAGGCCCAGTTTTGGGTTATTGACTTGGCTGAGACTTGGTCCAGATATGGTCCATGTTTGACCCTTGTCTGGAAGCTAGACTTGGTCCAATCATGGACCGTAATTCACTGCGGCATTTGGGCCAAGCAAAAGCTGATTGTGTGGGCCAGATCTGAGCCAGAAAAAATTGCTATGGGGGAACCCAGGTAGCAAAGAATTCTGGCCCAGATTTGGTTTAAGGCTGGCACAGCAGGCATTCGTCCGGCACTGTTATATAGCATGTGGGCCAAACATGGCCCAGGTTTGGCAGAGGTAGTGTCTATAAGGCGGCACACAAGACTTGTGGCCAGATATCAAATGTAGTATTTGGCCCAGATGTTAAAATTATATATGTGGGCCACGTAAGATTGGCCTAACTTGACCCACTTTTAAAATACATTTAAATTCCACCAATTAAATCACTTAGAGAAAAGGCACGGCCATAAAGCGAAATGCTACACTGGTTTTTCGAATTAGCTGCAGTCGTGACACACCATCATATCTGGCCCAGTTCAGGCCCAGTTATGGGTTATTGACTTGGCTGAGACTTGGTCCAGATATGGTCTATGTTTGGCCCTTGTCTGGAAGCTAGACTTGGTCCAATCATGTACCGTAATTCACTGCGGCATGTGGGCCAAGCAAAAGCTGATTGTGTGGGCCAGATCTGGGCCAGAGAAATGTTGCTATGGGGGAACCCATGTAGCAAAGAATTCTGGCCCAGATTTGGTATAAGGCTGGCACAGGAGACATTCATCCGGCACTGAAATGTAGCATGTGGGCCAAACATGGCCCAGGTTTGGCAGAGGTAGCACTGTCTTTAAGGCGGCACACAAGACTTGGGCCAGATATCAAATGTAGTATTTGGCCCAGATGTTAAAAATGTATATGTGAGCCACGTAAGCTTGGCCTAACTCAGGGATGGGCAAACTCGGTCCTGGAGGGCCGGTGTCCTGCACAGTTTAGCTCCAACACTAATCAAACACACCTGAACAAGCTGATCAGTGTCTTCAAGATCACTAGAAATCTACAAGCAGGTGTGTTTGATTAGAGTTGGAGCTAAACTGTGCAGAACACCGGCCCTCCAGGACCGAGTTTGCCCATCCCTGGCCTAACTTGACCCACTTTTAAAATGCATTTAAATTCTACCAATCAGATCGCTTCGAGAAAAACCACGGCCATAAAGCGAAATGCTACATTGGTTTATCAAATTAGCTGCAGTCGTGACACACCAACATATCTGGCCCAGTTTAGGCCCAGTTATGGGTTATTAACTGAGACTTGGTCCAGATATGGTCCATGTTTGGCCCTTGTCTGGAAGCTAGACTTGGTCCAATCATGGACCGTAATTCACTGCAGCATGTGGGCCAAGCAAAAGCTGATTGTGTGGGCCAGAGCTGGGCCAGAGAAATAATGCTATGTGGGAAGTTATGCATTTAAAGAGTTCATTCATTTTCTCCTGTCAAGTGCATCCAAACCCAGCAGACACAGGACGTCAACATAACGTCAGATTGACATTGTACCCCAATATCATGGGGACGTTACATTTTGTTTTGAAAAATTGACACCAACGTTCATCGTCCAACCTAATATCAACCTAATATCAACCAAATATCAACGTCTAATTATGTTACAGCTTGACCCTGTGTGGACGTTACCACAAGACATTGAGTTTTGGTTGCCATACCTGATGAATAAACATCAGTATTTGACGTCAATATGACGTTGGTTTAAGATGTTGAAACAACTTTGGATTTTTGTCACTTTCCAACAAAACCTAAAATCAACCACAATTAACGTCATTTCACGTCGTTATTGGATGTCATAATAACATTGTCATAAGACGCTAACTAGACAATACATTTTGGTCACCTGACTACATGACCATAATCTAACCTAATATTAATACATTATGACATTGTGTGCCTGCTGGGAACTTCTATGAGTTTCTTGTTTGTGTTGAACTCAAAAAGATATTTTGAAAAATGTTAGAAACATGTAGACATTGACATTCAAAGAAGGAAAAACAAATAGTATGAAAGTTAATGGTTACCAGTTCCAGTGAACTGTTGCACCATTACAAAATCGCCACTTATAAGATTAGATTTCTCTAAAAATCAGTGATCTTCACTGCCTGATTGATATCCATATAAAGTGGGTCTCAGACTGGACAATAAGCCCTGCATTCATGTCGTTAAAATATGGAAATATATTTTACCCAAGTTTTTTTGATGGAGTTTCTGTGCTAGCCTGCTACTACTGATGCAGCATTAACACAGACTTTCATTGCGTTTCAGGCTTTAACAACTTAATGAATGCTTAAGTCTCATTTGATAGGCTTAATTGGTAGTATTTTAATTACCATTGGCTGAAAAACACTAGCTGTACCTATAGCCCATTAGATGAACTAAATTGGCTGTAGTGTATAAGTGTGTGTGTGTGAATATGAGTGTGTATAGGTGTTTCCCAGTGCTGGATTGCAGTTGGAAGGGTATCCGCTATGTAAAACATATGCTAGAGTAGTTGATGGTTCATTCCGCAGTGATAAATCAGGAACTAAGCCAAAGGAAAATGAATGAATGAATGGATGAACCACTAAACTGAACTACTGAATTTTTTAAATACTTTATGTAAAAGGCTTTTTTTTTGGTGATGGCAGCTTAAAGACGCCTCTCATATGGAGAATGAAGTCACATGCATTCCTCAGGTGTGAGTTTTACACAGACTTCAACAAAGTGTGAAAATCTTGATGGTTCTGTGCATCTCGTCTATCAAATCTGAGCTTTACTTTGTATTTCCTATGGATTCAAGTCAGGCGATAGGGTATACGCCGAGCTAGTGCTGTTCCCATGCTGATACACTTCTGGTGACCTGTTATTGTGAACTTTTTTCCATTTTATACGGTTCCTTATACAGCATAGATGTTGTAATGTCATTAAAATACATTCAGTAAAATAAACTTTAGCATTTATTTAGTTGCCCAAGCGTAAAACGAGACAAAAAGTTGATTACTCGCACGCGCCCGTCAGAATCAGCAGGCTAACGCTGAAGCTCCATTGAATATACTGGGGTAAAATAAATGCTCATATTATAAAGATATGGCGGGGGAAATGTCATTTAATGCACTGTTTCTTGTACAATCTGAGACCCACTTTAAATCGGATATCACTCAGCTAGTGGAGATCGCTGATTTTTAAAGAAAACAGACCTTAAACACACCGGATTTTGCATTGGCATTCAATTCGCCGGAAGCGCTTAACCCAGGTTACTGGCAAATTAAAAGTCCTATTAGCATGCTTCGGCATATACCCCATTGACTGGGCCATTCTACAGCTTGATTTTCTTTCTCTGAAAGCATTAGTGAGTTTGCTTGGCTGTATTTTAGATCATTGTCTTGCTGAAATGTCCACCCTGGTTTCATCTTCATCCTCCTGCTAATGTAGATGTTGGACTGAAGCAGCTGATATTCATTTACACTGAGGAAAGGTAGAAGTTTGCTGAAGAACTACTGAGATATCAGCTGCTGTCTGAGCTTTCACTGCCTTTCTACACCTGTCATTTCATTTTATTATACATAAATGTATCTGTAAACTAATTAGATTTGTTTTCTTTGCATATATGGATTTATTTGGTTGTTACCAACATCTAATGAAAATTTTAAGTCAACGGCATCTTTAGAAATACGTTTAATGAGAAAAATAGTGACGTGTTAAATGCTTATTTCCCCCACTGTGAATACACTTAGACCAGGGGTGTCCACACTCTGTCCTGGAGGGCCGGTGTCCAACCCTAATCAAACACACCTGAACCAGCTAATCAAGCTCTTACTAGGTATACTAGAAACTTCCAGGCAGGTGTATTAAAGCAAGTTGGTGCTAAAGTCAGCAGGACACTGGCCCTCCAGGACCGACTTTGGACACCTCTGACTTAGTATATTAAAAAAGCTCAATGTTTTATTTTCAACATGCAGACACAGCAGAAACTAAACAATTTTTTTTTTTTTTTTTTTTACTAAAATGAGAATGTGTGTGATGGTAAAACGTATTGATGTGTTTCTCCCTGCAGAAAGAGACAGTAAAGTAGAAAAAGTGGAGACAGACATGTACTGGAAGCAAGCTGAGTGTCTCGGGTTCAAGACTGAAGACCAGTACACTTATGATGGCGTAACAGGTCAGTTTAAAAGCCATATGAAGTGCTTTAAAATGTGCATTTTTATTTAGTGTTTGACGTAATCTCAACCGAAACATGAAGAGAGGGTGGGACATAGAGTAGCTCCTCCCCCTTTTCAAAAACCATCCAATGGTGTTTTGTTTTATCACCGCTCTGCCAGTGAGAGTGGTTGAGCTCAAGTGCATCAAATGAAAAGAAAATTAAAAGAGTCTTGAAGGGGGCGGGGCATGTCAGGTACTAGAAAGCAGTTGATTGGTTAAGATTTGATGAGAAACTGAAGTATGAGGTTATGTCAGGGGTGGGCAAACTCGGTCCTGGAGGGCCGGTGTCCTGCACAGTTTAGCTCCGACCCTAATCAAACACACCTGCTTATAGATTTCTTGTGATCTTAAAGACACTGATTAGCATGTTCAGGTGTGTTTGACTAGTGTTGGAACAAAACTCTGCTGGGACACCGGCCCTCGAGGATCAAGTTTGCCCATCCCTGGATTGTGTGAATAAAATAGTTGATCCTTTTATGCGAAAGTGACAAACTGCAAGCTTTGCATGTTTATAGTCAGCTAAATGTAAAGTTCGTCACTGTTTTATGAAACATTTGCTTATCCGCTTGTTAAGTGTGACGTCACGCAAAGCGGCGTCCGGGTCCAAGAGCTCTATTCAAATGCATGGGGAAACTCATGAAGTGGTAATAATAAAAGTTTACAAAGCGATTTAATACTTTCGAAAATCACGATCGCAATATATATGTCCATGCCTAATATCCGATGACCAGAAAGTGATGCATTTTTTATAAATTGTTAATTTTGGTATTTGTGATGCAGCATGCCCAGAGAATGTTGTGTACACTATGACTTTATATCAAATTAATTTTAAATTTAATGTGTGATATGAATTAATAGTGATCATAAACGAATGATTTCTCAACTCAAATGAATGGCAGCTTGGACCCGGAAACAGTGTTAAATACGTCACAAACACGTCACTACTTAACAAGCAGATAGATATCCTTAGAACTTAATTTCACAAGACCTAACTCCTGAGACCCAAAGATTTTTTTTCTTTTTTCTTTTTTTTTGTGATTTTCTACATCCTTCGGGTTAAAAAAAATCTACAATTTAGAGTTTTTACATTTAGTTTTTGTTTTTAATTTTACAGCAAGTCCACTGTAGTGGACCACAGGACCATTTTAATTCGAAACAACCGCCAAACTGTACAGGATATGGCTGTAAACGGATATTCATCCAATATTAATGTAACAAAAACTAAACAAAAGCCATTTTTTCCTGTTGTATTGAAATTCCTGAAACAGTTTAGTCAAAAAAAAAAAAAAAAAAAGAAGTGATGTTAATCCAAAACAAATTCAACATTAAAGCGATTTAAAACTGATTGTCATTCTCTAATTGTCTCTAATTGTCTGATTGTCAGACTCTAAATCAGAGTTTCTCTCAACTATCCTATGAAAAATCTTCTCTACTTCAGTTCTGCCTCATTTTTTAAAACATTTTAAAAGCTCAATTTTACATACCTCTCTCCTTCCCATAAAATGTGCTTTTTTGTATGTCGGCCATTTTGGATGCAGTGTAAAGCCTGATTTATACTTCTGCGTCAGGTGACCAGCGTAACTCACTGCGCATACAACGCGTGTGGCTGTGCATTTATACTTCTGCGCGCTGTCTCTGTCGGTCTGCATTATTTTAAGAATTATTTATTAAGAATTGTTTTAAGAATTATAATAATTTAGCTACTAATTTATTTATTTATAAACTTATTTATCTGTTTGTTTGTTTATTTAGTTGTTTATTTAGCTATTTATTTGGTTAATTGTTAATTTTTTAACATGACATATGTATATTTGTTAATCTGAATCACAAAAGTTGTTCAAAACATTTAAGTACAAATTTTAAATCTATTAAATATTCTTTCAATGAACATAAAATCACTTTTATAATAATAAAAATAATTAAAACAATTAAGTTGAGGCCAAAACGACATGTCTTTTCTTCAAGTCATATATTAATTAATTTACATTTAATTTTTTTATCTCTGTCCCTCATTGCAGAATTCTGTCGTGCTGCCCAGGATAGCTCATCTGTCCAGGAGCCTTGAAGTTTGGACCGATCAGATCAATAATAAAAGGCTGCTTTTAGCGTCTGAGTTTGTAAACATGAAATAAAAAGTGAAATTGAATAAAGGTCATTGTTATTAATAATCTTAGTGTGTTTGTTTTATTTAGCCACAACAAATTATTCAACAATTCTTATATGTTTTTTGTAAACAATAAGCAACTTAATTGTGAATACTTGTACAGAAATATATTCATATATTATTTGTACAGTTTAAAAAGTCAACTGTGCAAACTGAAATATTTACAGCACAATTTACAGTAACTTACTGGCAATTTTGGTTGTAAATACACTGTAAAAGCGCTATAGAAATAAAGGTGAATTTAATTGAAAGTTAAACAAATACCAAACTGTTAACAAATAATTATTACTGTTCTGTATTTTTATATTACAATTGCAATTATTAATTTGCTGTCACACTATGCTGTATAACTGCAAATTAACTGTGTTTATATGCTGCCAACTCTTTTACACAACTCTAATTTTGACTATAATGATGTTCACCTTTTTATACAAGAAAATTTTAATTGAATTGAGATCAAAATGAACATTAAACATCAAGATTATTGCACTTTTTTACAAACATGTTGAAAACATTTAAAGATGTGTCACTCATGATTATAAGAGAGAAAACAAAAAGGCAAAAATTAAAATGCAAAAGCATGCCAACATGTTAAAGGTCAGCAGATCAAGGAAATGTGAAGAGTTTTGCATGAATTACAGTTATGTAAATAATTGTTTGTTTCTTGGTTTAAAGATACATTTGATAGTGTAAATAATCTTATTAGCACTGTCGCCTCAAAGCAAGAAGATCGCTGATTTGAGTCCTGGCTGGGTCAGTGGCATTTCTGTGTGGAGTTTGCATGTTCTCCCTGTGTTGGCGTGGGTTTCCTTCGGGTGCTCCGCAGTCCACAGTTCACACACATGTGCTATAGGTGAATTGAATAAAACAAAAATTGGCTGTATGTGTGTGAATGTTAGTGTGTATGGGTGTTTCCCAGTACTGGGTTGCAGCTGGAAGGGCATCCGCTTACTAAAACATATGCTGGATAAGTTGGCGGTTCATTCCACTGTGGCGATCCCTGATAAATAAGCCGAAAAAAATATGAATTAATGAAAATACAAAACTTGTGCAAATTTAATGGATTCCTGTGCAATGAGGCCAATAGAGAACCTTGTTGTTAGAGAATCTCACCACTAGATGTCACAGTTTACATACAATACTCAATCAGAAATCACGAGGTCGTCTCTTATTTTGATATATAATAAAATATTCATATATGTGCCTGTGCATTTAGGCTATAAAAATTCCACATGCAAAAATCTCTCATTTTTTTCTTGAGCTTACTTTTCCTATTTTTCATTAAGCTCAAATGTTTAGGTTCAGTCATTTCGATTTCGTGGCAATGTATTTTATTGCAAATGTATTTTTTCAAATATATTTTTAGGTCAAAAACGTTTTATACTGTTTAATAAATAAACGTGTAGCTTTACATTCATTTTTCTACACATTACAACGTGTCTATTTATTTATTTGTTTACGGCAACAAATAAATACTCCATGACTTACAAAAAAACTATTATAATTCATAAATAAATAAACAAACATTCATAATTCATATTTAATAAATAAATACGCAAACAAATAAATAAATGAGTAAATAAATCTGTAAGTTCCGGCATAAATAGAATAATAAATTAATAAATAAATATGCAAATAAATAAATAAATTAGTAAATAAATCTATGAATTCATGCATAAATAAAACAATAAATAAATAAATAAATTAGTAAATAAATCCATAAATTCTATCATAAATAAAATAATAAATAAACAAATATGCAAATAAATAAACAAATGAGTAAATAAATCTATAAATTCCAGCATAAATAAAATAATAAAGAATTTAAATATGTAAATAAAAAAATAAATGTGTAAATGAATCCATAAATCCAAAAGTGTATGAATAAAATAATGAGTAAATAAATAAATATGCAAATAAATAAATACATAAGTAAATAAATCCAAAACATTTTGCATTAATAAAATAATAAATAAATAAATAAATAAATACACAAATAAATTAGTAAACAAATTAATAAATTCAAGCTTAAATAAAATATTAAATAAATAAATGTAAAAATCAGTAAATAAATGAGTAAACAAATCCATAAATTCATGCATAAATAAAACAATAAATATATAAATAAATAAATGAGTAAATCCATAAATTCCAGCATAAATAAAATAATAAATAAATATGAAAATAAATAAATTAATGAATAAATAAGTCCATCAATTTCTGCATGAATATGATAATGTATAAATAGATATGCAAATAAATAAATGAGTAAATAAATGCATAGTTTTCAGCATAAATAAAATAAGAAATAAACAAATAAGCTAATGAATAAATAAATTAGTAAACAAATCCTTACATTCCTGCATAAATAAAAAAATAAATAAATAAATTAGTAAATATATCCATAAATTCAATCGTAAACAAAATAATAAATAATTTAAACATAGACAATTAAAAATGTAGTATATTCACATTTTGTGAACTACTGCTGCTGTCATAGATAGTCTAGGTATTTATTTGTAAATTGATTTAATGGGTTGAAAAATAGTACTTACTTTATTTCTGTAGCTATTCATTAGTATAATCACTTTAAATAACGAAGCAGAGATTAATATAATATAATATAATATAATATAATATAATATAATATAATATAGTATAATATAATATAATATAATGTAATATAATGTAATATAATATAATATAATATAATATAATATAATATAATATAATATAATATAATATAATATAATATAATATAATATAATATAATATATACTTTCATCATCATTTCAAAATCGCATAAACAGAAACAAATTAAAACCAGAGTAAGCCAACCAGCAGCAGCGCCGTTGTCATGAATATTAATAAGCTAGCTGAATATTCATGAGCCGGACAGGTGGAGGAAGGCGCCGTTGCTGTTTGAAGGTGTGAGTGGATTATTTTTTTTAACTAAGTTCCTCGTGCGGTGTCAAGGCATCAGCTGACAACACGTTTCAACATAATGAATCCTGCTAGTTTGCGTTGGAGAAAGTAGGAGTCATTTTACAAAGGCTGTTGTCAAATGCTGACGTTACTCCAGCTCGTTTAGACGCGGTTCCTGTTGTTGTGTCGGGTCTTCTTGAGGAGTTTGCGAGTTTTTCTGAGGAATGAGGTGAAATGAGGCTCTGTCATGGAAAATTTTTATTTATCGCCGGGTTTTTGTGTATGATGATGTTAACATTCAGACACACGTCCAGACCAGGTGAGTGTCGATACCTGTACATTACTCCAAGTGGTTATAGGTAGATTACATTCATTATTATTGATATTTTATTTAGTATTTATGTTGTTATTGTCGTTTTATGTGTCAGGTTATTTAATAGACACTCTGTTGATTTTTTTAAATTGGCAAAGTTGCCACATTAACTCGCTGTTTGTGAGTGTTATCAATAAATAAATTTTAGATTTTGACTTATTATATAATATTTGTATATGTTATGTCATATTGGTGATGATTACAGAACCAGACTTTATTTTTTAATATACTCAATATGTTTTGTTTGAAAAATTATTTAAAAATGATAAAAAGACATTTCAATAAGTTACAAAGATCATTAAAACTCGTATATTCCTTCTAAACATCTGAATGATAAGTTAATAAGTTAAAAAGATCATTATAACTTGTATATTTAGTTAAAAAGATCATTTAAAACATATATTAATTAAAAAGATCCTTAAAACTCTTATCAGTTGTTCTGCTGTCGATCTAACCATCTAAAAGATAAGCTAATAAGTTAAAAAGATTCTTAAAGCTCTTATATTTTGTTCAGCTTTTGATCTAAACATCTGAATGATGAGTTAATAAGTTTAAAAGATCTTTAAAACTCTTATAATTTGTTCAGCTTTGATATAAATGATGAGTTAATACATTTAAAAGATCATTAAAACTCATACATTTCGTTCAGCTTTTGATCTAAACATCTGAGTGATTAGTTAATAAGTTTAAAAGATCACTAAAAACGTATATTTAATTAAAAAGATCCTTAAAACTCTTATAATTTGTTCAGCTTTCGATCTAAACATCTGAATGATGAGTTAATAAGTTTAAAAGATCATTAAAACTCTTATATTTCTTTCAGATTTTGATCTAAACATCTAAATGTTAAGTTAAATAAGTTAAAAAGATCATTAAAACTCCTATATTTTGTTCAGCTTTCGATCTAAACATCTGAATGATGAGTTAATAAGTTAAATCTGATCTGTACAGATGGTTGTTTTGAAGTTATTTTTCAGAAGTAAAATATATTTTTTCTTAGTACACTTGTTTCCAAATGCTGAGGTTTAAAAGTGTTAGCATATTAGAAATGTTGGAGTGAATTGTTGTGTGTGCGTGTGTGCATGCGTGTGTGCATGTGCACCACATATGCATCAAGCCAAAGAGGAACTTCTGTAACTCATAAACAAATGTGTGTTAACTCCACAAAACTTTATTATAAGATAGCAATATAGATCACAGCCTGTGTTTGGAATATTTTTAGTTTGCACAAAGTCAAAGAAAACTGTTTGAAGTGTCAACATTTTGTGGAAGGGGAAGAAAAAGAAATGCTCAAGTAAAAGTACCATTGATTTTATTTTATTTTTTATTTTATTTATTTTTTTGATTTATTTATTTTCGATCAAAAATATCATACATAAAATATCATTAACAAAAAAATACATTTCAACATGGTTTAAATGGAGTGGGATGAATCACAAGCTTATTAAGTTTATAATTAGCATGATTTGTCAAAAATGTAGTGCAAGTAGAGTAAAAGTATTTGTTCTTATCTGTCAGACTCCTGAAGTATGAGGTGAGGTGAAAAAAATCTTTGATCAGTTTAGGTGAAACTGCAAGCTTTGGATATTTATATCAGGTTTATCTTCTTAATGCGAATTTTGTCGCTGTTTTGGAACACTCTCTATTTTAACGGTCTAGGTGCAAAGTCTAAAGTGCATGGCGCAAAAGCATTAAGGGTGTTTCCGAATCCACTTTTGTTATTTTAAGGACAGAAAAATACGATCTGCGCCACGGTGCATGATCTAACAGGGTTGAGCTTATTTTCTTAATGAGTTCTGGGTGTGTTTTGAGAATAAACCAATCAGAGTCTCATTTCCCATTCCCTTTAAAAATCAGTTGCATCGTGCCATGGCGCATTTGCTGTTTACATGGCGGATTTTGTAAGTGGAAGACTGAACACTACACTAGTGAGAAAACAGTTAAACAGAGCATCTGCAGCGCGTGGATAAAGAATGAGCCTCCTCCAATCGGCCTTTACTTTCGCTTTCACTTTCTCTCTTTCGTGGATAAGAAAACGATGTTGTACGCACTCTACTGAAGACACCCATTTAGTTTATTAATTTAAATTTTTAATTAATTAAAATTAATTTCTAAGTTTATTAATTTAAATTAACTAAATTAATTAATTTCCAGCAAACGAATAAATCAGCAATAATAACGAAGTGTGGTAAAAAAAAAAACTGAGTTATATCCAAAAAAATATGGTCCAAAACCCAAAAGGTGGACAAAGCTTGTTTTAATAAAACAAATATAAATATGCATATAATAAATAATACTGCTAATAATAATAACATCATACAAAAGCAAGTTGTCATGAATGAACTGAAAAAGCCCCCAAGGTGAAGAAGGCATGGAGGCAGTGGTTTTTATATTTATGTAGAAAAGAATAATTTTTGTAACATTTTAATCCTTTATTCTTATTCATACGTAAAGATATTTGCGTGTTGCTATACATCCTGCGTGTTTTAAGCAATGTGTAAGCGAGGCATGCAACTAAAGCGCTCTGTGGTGGACTTTAGACCTGCTTTCAGCTGGTCTACTGATCAGTCTATGTTAGTTCCTCAAAATAGCAAAGTGGCGCAAATGGATTTGCTGTTACTTGGCAAAATCATGACTTGCGGTTATTTGTAATGACTTATTTTATATCCCTAATTGTACTGCAGTGTTTACACGTCTGTAACTCAAATCTGATGTTATTTTTGCTCTTTTTTTCCAGATAATGTGCCATCGCAGCTGCATGAGGTCTACGAGCGGCTACTGCGAGCAGAGCAGCGCGGGGAGGTTTTATCACAGGAGCTGCTGAAGGTGCTGGGTCATCTACAAAACCGCAGCATCGCTCAGTCTAATCTCAGTTTCAGCAACTCCTCAGGTCAGTAAAGCTCACTAGGGCTGCATTGACATCGTAATTTCCACATTTACATTTTTTAACAAAGATTAAAGTCAGTGTGAGCCGGAAGTTGCTAAGACTTTTATTTCAGTATGTTGATGTACTTCCAAGTAAAACGGAATATTGAGTAGTGGGCGGGGCTTTCTTTTTGCGCATCATTCCCTCATATGAATATTGTGGCTGACATCATCAGAGAAGGAGCCAATCCAAAAGCAGATGCTCAGATTCTGATTGAAGATTACCAAAACAAACTATTTTTATTGAATTAACTTGCCCTGATTAATTGTTCACCTAATGAATAGCAGTGTGTGCTAGCAAAATACACGTAGCGGACGGGCTCGCAGGGCACGCACCGCGGGGGGGCCCCGCGTGATTAGGGGGCCCCGCGTCCTCGCGATTTTCAATAATTGAAAATCCACCGGCAACCGCAATAATCAAACTCTTGGGAACAACTGTGGTCGGAACCAAAGTTCACACGTTTGTGTTCTCTGAACACCTCTCAAGCGGTGGACTACTTCATTCTGATTGCTTGCCGCCAATGTTGCCAACTTAGCGACTTTGTCACTAGATTTAGCGACTTTTCAGACCCCCCAGCGACAAATCTAGCGACTTTTTTTGTGTGTTATTGGATATTTTTAGACTGTCATTTGTCCATACTGTACCGTCCCTACTCTTCTCAACGAACTGCGTGTGATGCCGCCGGCCCCTCCCCCGCCTCACAGCACTGACAGGCGGCCCAGTCAGTCCTCGTACCGCAGCCTCTCCCACCTGCAGCCCGAGAGCAGATCACCCCTCTGCGTACCGACGACAAATGATTTAGCACAGGCAGTGTGAAGGTATTTCCCTTGTACAGTCAAACCGATCTGCTTCTACTTTATTTTAACAATTTAATTGGACCGTTTATTCTTTTCTTGTTCACAATCACAGATATTTTAGTGACAATTTCTGAACTTGTCTGAGTTTATTACATATGAGAGATTACTGCACATTCACTACACATCTATAATGATATACTGTATTCAAACAGCAATACATTTAGTTAAATAAACATGCTTATATAAAGTGTAGTGCAATTATAAATACCCCTTTATTAACCATAGGCTGTTAAACAAACAGAAAAGGTAAAACGTGATGACGTCAGTGATATGCAAATTGACGTATGACGTACCCCCCCCTCCTCTTCATCAGGGGGCCCCGTCAGCGATCCCTGCAGGGGGGCCTCCGCATTTTGCGCTACGCCACTGAAAATACACATTGTAAATTAAGCTTTTACACAAGACTTTAATCATTAACATTTAATGGAGCTGTGTTAGAGAGGCCAGCAGGGGGCGCTCAACCTGTGGTCTGTGTGAGTCCTAATACCCCAGTAAGAGTGAAGGGGACACTATAATGTCAGTGAGCGCCGTCTTTCGGATGAGACGTTAAACTGAGGTCCTGACTCTCTGTGGTCATTAAATTTCCCATGGCACTTCTTGTAAAAGAGCAGGGGTGTAACCCTGAAGTCCTGGCCAAAGTCCCTCAATTGGCCTTTACGATCATGGCCTCCCAATCATCCCCATTCACTGAATTTGGCTCTATCACTGTCTCTACACTCCACCAATAGCTGGTGTGTAGTGAGCGCACTGGCGCTGTTGTCCTGTGGCTGCCGTTGCATCATCCAAGTGGATGCTGCACACTGGTGGTGGTGTGGAGTGATAATAATAATAATTCTATACAATTTAAAGTGACATTTAAAGGCTTTACTAGGTTAATCAGGCAAGTTAGGGTAATTAAGCAAGTCATTGGCTGCGTCCGAAATCGCGTACCTCCATACTATATAGTTTTGCTGCACGATTAATCGAAAAAAGATTCTACGATTCTGCCAATCATATTTTCAAGTTCAGGAGAGAAGCAAAGGCGGTCGCACAAGTCTTAACATTCTTTTACATGCGTTGTTCAGCAACGTAGATGCCTCCTAATGGTGTTGAAAGAGTCGCTGTATTTATAAGGTATAATTCACCCAAAATTTTGTGCACAGACAGGGCCGGAGCAAGCTGAACTGCCGCTCTCGGCAAAGGATGGTCACGCCGCTCACAACCCTAAAGTGAAGAGGGTGGGGTGATGTCGCTGACGCCGCCCTCTTTATTCTGCAAACCTAGACACGGATATAACTGAGGGCGCGGGTGATAAGGGAAGTGTCGCGGACGCCGTCCTAGATGCGGATATAACTGAGGGCGCGAGAGGTGAGGGTAGTGTCGGGGACGCTGCCCTTTCTATTCTACCGCCCTAGGAGGCCACCTAGGTCGCCTCTATGGACGCGCCAGCCCTGGGCACAAAGTGATCGTTTTGGAGCCGCGCGTGATGTATAAACAGAACTTGGCAGTGAAAATAAAACCAAAAGCACGCACATCATTTAAATTATCTTATCGCATTTTAGAGTCATGATTGCGACAAGCATTTAATGTTTTTATGTCAAGGCGAACACAGAGTGTTGTACATGAGAATAAATGTTTAACAGTGTCATTATAACTACTCTAGTCCATATAATGCAGGAGGGAATCTGATAATGACAAATGTCTGATTTTACCAGTGAAAATATGGACTAATAATGTTGTCAATGATAGATTGCAAGCATATATCATAATTCAACTTCAGAATTATGAATAGTTGTATTCTGATGTCATTACTTTACTGTGAATTAATGACCAGGACACATTTAAAGTCTGTTCAAGTCCACCATTCAAAGTCTATTCAAAATTTAGCATTTTAACCAACAGCAGAGCTACACATAATATTATTGTTGTTGTTTGAGGATAACAATAATAATAGCCAACTCGTATTAATCTTTATTTTACATCTATAGAATCATGAGAAAATCCTGATCTTTACTTTAAGCAAAAAAATTTTGATTCTCATTTTTTTAAACATTCTCTTTATTTATTTTTTAACATCAGTACAAGTGATAACTTTTTCATACGTATACTTTTTTCCTTTTAAACACAAAGGTGTAGCATCACCTTACTATTATATGTATGAGATAACTAAAAAACAGAGAAATGTGGGGGAAGAAAAAAAAAGAAAGAAGAAGAGAAAGAGAGAAAAAAATAAAAATAAAATAAAGAAATTAAAGAACTATATAAGGGGGGATATTTGAAGTGTTTTACTAAAGTTCAGTCACTGCTCTCTTGTATTTTTCTTTTGTAATTGAACTTTATTATTTTATTTTGAACCTTTATACCCCACACAACATAAAATTCACAATACAAAATCAACATTCAGGAAAATAATATCAACCAATTATAATAAAAATAATAGCAAAACAAAAATTATAACAAATATAAAATAATACAAAACAATATAACAGACTGTCAAATTGACAACCCTTCAATTTTCTTTTCGTGTGCTCTCCAAATATTGCAAAAAGCTACCCCATTTCTGATTAAAAGTATGGGTGGAGTCCTGAACTCTTGCCAACATGCGTTCACATGATGCAGTAGAAGTCATCAGTTCAATCCGATCCTTAAAACAGGGAGTATCTGAGTTCAGCACCAGTCTCACAGCAATAATGCATCCTGCGACGACTAGCCCATGCCTGTGCTTTAGATATTCTGTTCTGTAAAGTGGATGTATCACCAAGAAGACAGACTCTTGTGGAATAAGGTAAAGGTTGTCCCAGCCATTTCTCTAGGTTTTGAATAACTCTTGTCCAGAATGGAGCCACCATATGACAGCTCCACTTTACATGTAAAAAAAAGTGCCCCTAGAATGACCACATTTCCAACAGTGGTTATTTTCATTAATCCTATTCTTTGCAGTATTACTAGGGTCCAGTAATATTGATTAATTATCTTGTAATGTATGAGTTTACTCCTAACATCTCTCACAGTACCCCCTATACCAGAAACTACTGCCTCTCATTCCCTCTCTTCAAATTCCACCTCCAGGTCTTTCTCCCAAATAATTCTGAAATGATCACTTTATAGATACATGTTATTTCCAGCAATCTTATAAACAAAATATGTGGTTTGCACCGACTCTGGCATATTTAGAAACCCTAATAAAACACTTTCTTCTGCTCCTGGCTTATATCCCACGGATCTTATACTACTATGCAGCTGTATATATTTCCAGAAATCCCCTTTATCTAATAGATTGAATTTGTCTTTCATGAAATGAATACAGTGCCCCTTGTCCATATAAATCATCAACTGTTTTCAGGCTTTTAATCACTGCTCTCTTGTTAAAGTATTCAATAAATGGATTCCATATTACATGGAAATTCTTTGTTTTATTTTTTAGGGAAAGCCTTGGCTTCTTAAGTTGCAGACAAAACACAACATCCATTATTAGTGTGGAGCAGGGGTCACCAACATGGTGCCCGCGGGCACCAGATAGCCCGCGAGGATCTCATGTGTTGCCCACAGGCCTGTTCTAAAAAGTAGCTCACCATAGCGCCACTTACCAGTAAGCTTCATCTAATATAGAAGTAATCATTTAAAAACGTAAATATTTGCATAGATATATAAAAATAAAGTGTTGCACATTGATATATTAAATACAGGGTATTTCCTACCCTGTTAAATCATTGTTGATAACTTTTGTGAGATCATTAACATGATCAATGTCTTCACATGGATGAATATTATTAATTATTACCAAAAACATAAAGTATAATTAAAAGTAAATTGAGCAAATTTGTTATTTGAGAAGTGTTTATCAAACTGGTAGCCCTCCACATCAATCGGTACCCAAGAAGTAGCTCTCAGTTTCATAAAGGTTGGTTACCCCTGGTGTGGAGCAACGTGGAGGATCTTTTCATTTCCAATTTAGTAAAATCAGTTTACGTGCCAAAAGGGTTATAAATATAATCACTGTACGCTGATTATTAGATAAATCTGCATCGTCACTGACACCAAATATAACTAAAATAGGCCCAGGGTGTATTTGTCTTCCCACAACTTCTAATATTAATGTGATTCTCATTTTACCCTGAATCGTGCAGCTCTACTATATAGTACACTAAAAAAAACAGTATTCGATGGGGATGTAACGGTATCAGAATTTCACGGTACGGTAATACCTCGGTATGAATGGCACGGTACGGTATTTATTGAATAATTTACAGGAAAAACAAAACTAATGAAAAGATTCGAAAAAAGTGCCAAAAGTGTTTATTTACCTTTGCATTGAACATATCAATGACATACAAATTAGCCATCTATCTGTAAGTTTCGAAACAGGAACTTAAATTTTTCCATTTTAATAACAAAAAACTATTAAACCATATATAAAAAAAATTGTTTTAATTTAGTATTGTTGAAAACTCATCACATTCAATATTTAATCACTCACTCACTTAGATAGAGATGGGTTTTTTAAGGAAAATTATCATATAACTATAATCTGGTAAAAGCTGGGATCTCTGGGCATGTCCCCTGCAATAGAAAAAAACCCCTCTCATTTGGGACTGAGGTTTCTGGGACAGAGAGATATGATTTAGCCAAGGTTGACAGCAGTGGGTAACATTGTGCATTGTCTTTCCACCACTTGAGAGGACAAGCCATGAGTGAGAAAGAGGTCTCTTTGCGGTTTTTAGTCGTATTCCCCGACTTGTATTTCACCACAGTCTGGCAGTGCCTGCATACTGTTTTTTTTCATTGTCTGTCACCTTTTCTCCTTTTTCGTATCTTTTTAGAAAGAAACCGAAATGCTTCCACACATCCGATTTAAAACCCGCTTTAGGTTCGATCATTTCCAGCTCTTTTTCTTCCCCGCTACTAGCAACACACTCCATTTCCGCATTACTGGATCTGTAGTGACAACAGATCGCAAAGGATGATGGCCACGCCTAGGCTGATGGGAATTGTAGTTCCCGCTACCTCCCGTTCGCTTCATTCGCCTGAGCAAACTTTTCTCAGAAATACAGTTTTATTGAGTCATGCGCCTACGGTAATATTGAAAAAAATTGCTATTGCGGTATGACGGTATTTACAATATTGTTACATCCCTAGTATTCGAGCCAAGTAGTATGTCCGAACTCATAGAATTCGAGAAACAGTATGTGAGAAGTACCCTGATGACCTACTACTTCCAGCGAGATTCTGAAGTGCGCATCTGATGCACGATATACTATGCCATGATGCACCGTGAGAGAATTCTTAAATGGGAGTGAAGTGATGCAGCTGACGTGGGTTGGTCATTTGATGATGACAAAAATGGCGGATGTAGTACATCCGAGTTCTCACATTCATACTGTACAGAACACAATTTTCTATTACATTTAAATTCAAATGCATTACCTACTAAGTAGTAGGCGATTTCGCATGCTGTCATTGTATTGACCTTATTCTAAAATGCGGAAGTGCGCCTGTTTTCGCGATTGTCTTAGAACTTCCGTTTCAGTCGCCTATGGGAGAAATGACAAGGAATAATAAACGGCAAAAAACGGTCAAACTACTTGCTCTACAAACAAATGTTTGCATGACTATACAGACCAAGTAGAATAATATAACAAGGAAATATCAGTTTGCAACATCAAACAGCGAAACGAGCAGTTTTTAATGTCTAAAAATGAATGGAAGTGAATGAGACCGGAAGTCTTGTGCCAAAAAGATTCAAATGGCAGCGCCCACTCGTCTGCGGAGGCCAATAACAGTGATTTGTTCTGTAGACAATCGAAGGGGGCTAATAATATTGACCTTAAAATGGTTTATTAAAAAATTAATAACTGCTTTTATTCTAGCCAAAATAAAACAAGTAAGACTTTCTCCAGAAGAAAAAACATTATAGGAAATACTGTAAAAAATGCCTAAATCTGTTAAACATCATTTGGGAAATTTTTGAAAAAGAAAGAAAATAGGGCTAATAATTCTAACTTCATCTGTATATTAAGTTAATTTTTGTTTTTGCTGAAATTTTCATGTAAATGGCCAATTAGTAATAATAATAATAATAAACTTTATTTGTATAGCACTTTTCCAACATACATGCAACTCAAAGTGCCTCACAAACAACAACAAAAGCATTAAAATAGACCACAAAAACTTATCACATATACTGAAATAAAAGCATTCATGTACACAAAATATAAGTATATATCAACATGATCACACACACAATAGTCCTTACATATGCAAGCACACACCATACATTACATACATTAACCTACAACAAAATAGATAAAATGTGTACACCTAACAAACTTGTTTAATCATACGCAATTTTAAAAAGATGTGTCTTAACACGCTTTTTAAAAACATGAATACTTGGGGATTCTTTCACTTCAAGGGGGAGACAGTTCCAAATTTTTGGAGCATAATGGCTAAAAGAAGTGCCGCCAGATTGCATCAGGTTTACAGGATAAAATTCTAAAAGTCCAGCACTAGAAGAGCGTAGCAAACGGTTTGGATTATATTTTGTTAAACACTCGGAAATGTAGGAAGGTGTCATGTTGTGTAGTGCTTTATACACTAATAAAAGAATCTTAAAATCTATCCTTTGGTGCACAGGCAACCAGTGTGATTCTATTAATACTGGTGTAATGTGCTCTCGTTTCTTTACTTTCATTAAAACTCTGGCTGCTGCTTTTTGTATCAATTGCAACTTCATTGTAGAACCCTTAGGTAGACCAGTATAGATAGCATTGCAATAATCAAGCCGAGAGAAAATAAAAGCATGAATTAATTTCTTAGCATCATCAAAAGATAGGGAAGAATGAATTTTGGCAACATTTCTTCAGTGATAAAAACATGTTTTTGTATCTTGATTAATATGAGATTTAAAGTTAAGATCACAATCGAAAATAACACCCAGGTTCTTTAATTCTTTTTTGGATTGTCAACCTAAAGAACACAGTTCTGCTTCAATCCTCTCTCGCTCAGGTTTTTTGCCCACAATAAGAATTTCTGTTTTATCTTTATTCAACTTTAAAATGTCCAATGCAAGTCTGTCATATTTTGTTTTATCTGCCTTTCAGCTATATTAGAAGAGCGAGTTCTTCGTCTGCTCTTGCCTTCGCAGCCGAATGCACTGGTGTATTTACCTCACCTGAAAGAGCACAAGGACAGTCTGAAACCCATCGTTCACCTGGGCAGACGACGCAAGGGAGGTCTGTCAAACATTTGCATTTTTGAGTTTGCTTTGTTTTGTTTTGCAATGCAGAAATTGGACATATTGTGTAAAAGAGATTTAACATAGACTTGCTTAAATCACACTGACCTGTATCTATTGCTCCCCTAAACATTTACATCAGCGTTTGAAATATTAGCATAATCCCCTTGAAGGCATATGCAAAGGAAGAAGGTGAGGTTTCTTTGAATTGCAGTGTTGTCATCGTGATGTACACATGCTGTGGTGTGGTTTAATGCAAAACCTCACCAATGTGAAACATTTAGCTGTCGTTGTGCTTGAAAAAAGTTGGTCCTAAATTATTGCATTAAAGAGTTTATTCGGTTTATTTCTGGTTGTGAATTGCATTATGGGATGTTGATCTCTGCTATGTCCACTTTTTGATGCTGAAAATTCAACTCTACAGTTTAACAGAGTAACTTTTACTGACATATTGGTAGTTTGAAATAATATAATGCAGTGGTTCTCAAACTGTGGTACCACTAGTGGTACACAGGCTTCCTTCTAGTGGTACGCGGAGGAATCACTATTTTAACCCTTTAACATGTCTGATAACACAGATGTGATCAGTAAATTGATTTTAATAGACTAAACCTTTTATTTTATTTTCAATTGTCTAATGTTTGTTATGTATTCTATCATTTGAAGCCCATGCGCAGTAAGCAGATCTAATTTCTAAATCCAATTGGAACATTTAATATACATGTTAGGGCCCTATCATACACCCGGCGCAATGTGGCGCAAGACGCGGCGCAATAGTCTTTTGGTAGTTTCAGCTTGCCGCAAGAGTCGTTTTGAGGCGTTGCGCTACGCTGTTTAAATAGCAAATGCATTAGCGCTCATTTGTCTGCCCATAGGCGTTCTGGTCTAAAAAGGAAGGCGTTCTGAGGCGGACCGCTGGCGCGTTGCTATTTTGAGAAACTATAATAGATTTTTCATTAGACCAAAACTAACCCGGTCTAAACTCCGGCGCAGAGTTGCGCCTCGCTTACACACTGCTTAATACACACAAGAGAGCAATAGGCAAATATCTTTACATATGAAAACATGTAAATATTAAGGATATATATAGGATATAATAAGAATAGATATAGAATATAAATATAAAGGATTAAAATATTACAAAACATTATTATTTTCTAGCATAAATATGAAAAATCACTGCTTTTATGTCTTCTTCATCTCGGGAGGCTTTTTCAGTTCATTTATAACAATTTGCTTTTGTATAATGTTATTATTATTAGCAGGATTATTTAATATATCGATATTTATATTTGTTTTATTAAAAACAAGCTTAGATTTGTCCACCTGTCAGGTTTTAGACCATATGGGGCATGGCAGGTGTATTTGGAAATAACTCAGTATTTTGACCACACTTGGTCATTATTGTTCATTTATTCATTTGCTGGAAATTAGAACTGAGTTTAGAAATAGTTTTGAAACAAATCTTTGCGCTTAACAAACACAACTAATTATTTATAGACTAATTGATGTCTGTGCGTAAAGGTTTCCCTATCCAAGAGCGAATGTGAAAGTAGATCCATTATCTCTCATTCTCACGCAGTAGATGCTCTGTTTAACAGTTTTCTGTTAATAAACTGTTAACTGTGAACTGTTTGCTTGTGAAATGCTCATTTTTTCCACTTAGACTTACTTTGCGTCCTGTAAATAGCGAATGCGCTCTTGGCACGACACAGCTGGCTCTTAAAGGGAATGGGAGATGAGACTCTAATTGGTTTATTCTCAAAACACACCTATAACTCATTAAGAAAATAAACTCAACCCTTTTAGCCCATGCACCTTGGCGCAAAGCGCATTTTCTCGTCCGTAAATTAGCAAAAACGCGTTCTGACAGGCCCTGAAAGCGTTTGCGCCCTGCGTTTTGCGCTCTGCGCATGGACCGCAAAATAGAGCCCTTAATGTTTAGATTTCAAAGATATGCAAATAAGTTATATGTAAACACAACTTATATTTCAAAATTTATCATAAAGAGATGAATATGAATGAAATATGGCCTCTATTTATGAGGTCCAAGCAACATTTTAAGGTTTTGATGAGTCAAAGTCAGCTTTATTGTCAATTCAACCACATATACAGGACATATAGAGAATCGAAATTACGTTATTCTCAGACCCTAGGTGCCTAACATATAATGTTAATGCAAAAAGTTTTAAAGAAGTTTTAAAAAAAGAATTTACAATAAATACAATTATACATAAAATGTAATCTAAATATTTACCTAAAATTGAGTCTTAATATATACATAAAATGTAATCTGAATATATACATAAACTGTAATCTAAAGAATAATAAAAAAGAAAGAATAAAAATTGTAATCAGTACAATACAATACAATACAAAAACATTAAGGGCATATGGCAATGAGTGCAAACCAGAGTTGTGCAGATCGAACCGTATATAGTGCAAAAAGGCTTGTAAACATGAGAATTATCAATAGGATACTTAATGATAATACTTTACATTTAAGTACGGCAGTTTTCTTACTTTTAAAGAATAGTGACAATGGTTAAAGTGGCTGACAATAATAAGTATGCGTAATAATAGTAATTAATATGCTTTGTTTTTGAACTGTGCAGAGCTTTAGCTGCTTAATTAGGTCAACTACACTACTGTATTTTAATACCGGTCATTATAGTGGTACGTGAAGTGACGTTTTTCTGAGGTGGTACTTGGTGAAAAAAGTTTGAGAACCACTGATATAATGTATAAGAAGTAATGGAGAAATACGTCTGTGAAATAGCAGAAAATTTGCTGGCAGTTTATTACAACATTTCTGTAGTGTAATATACAACACCAAACCAAATAATTGGGTATATGCCGAGCTAGTGCAGTTCCCATGCTGATACACTTCCGGTGACCTGTTATTGTGAACTTTTTTCCATTTTATACGGTTCCTTATACAGCATCGATGTTGTAATGTCATTAAAATACATTCAGTTAAATAAACTGTAGCATTTATTTAGTTGCTCAAGCGTAAAACGAGACAAAAAGCCGTTTACTCGCACGCGCCCGTCAGAATCGGCAGGCTAACGCAGAAGCTTCATTGAATATACCGGGGTAAAATAAATGCTCATATTATAAAGATATGGTGGGGAAAATGTCATTTAATGCACTGTTTCTTGTACAATCTGAGACCCACTTTAAATCGGATATTACTCAGCTAGTGGAGATCGCTGATTTTTAAAGAAAACAGACCTTAAATGCACCGGATTTTGCATTGGCATTCAATTCGCCGGAAGCGCTTAATCCAGGTTACTGGCAAATTAAAAGTCCTATTAGCATGCTTCGGCATATACCCCATATAGCTCATTAAACTATTAAAAATGCTAATAAAAGTCTCTTTTTAAAACTTTTCAAGGTTAAAATTTGTTGGTAGAAAGATCAAGCTCTCATAATGCAATTCAAATGCATAAATAAATGTTTTATTTAATATTTACGGATAGTTTACAGATATTACGGATATACTTATGACTAATTTGTGGATCGTTTTTTACAGTGTAGTTATAAATTAAATGAAACAAACAAATAAATAAATAAATAAGATGATGATGGTAACGAAAAGCAAATATATCATGCATATTAACTTCTGAATGCATTGCAAGCCCTGCAAATCTAATGTTATATACACAGTTGAAGTCAGAATTATTCGCCCCCCCTGTTTATTTTTCCCCAATTTCTGTTTAACGGAGAGCAGATTTTTTTTCTCAACACATTTCTAAACATAATGGTTTTAATAACTCATCTCTAATAACTGATTTATTTTATCTTTGCCATGATGACAGTAAATAATATTTGACTAGATATTTTTCAAGACACTTCTATACAGCTTAAAGTGACATTTAAAGGCTTAACTAGGTTAATTAGGTTAACTAGGCAGGTTAGGCTAATTAGGCAAGTTATTGTATAATGATGGTTTGTTCTGTAGGCTTGAAAAAACATAGCTTAAAGGGGGCTAATAATATTGACCATAAAATGTTTTTAAAAAAATGTATAACTGCTTTTATTCTAGCCGAAATAAAACAAATAAGACTTTCTCCAGAAGAAAAAATATTATCAGACATACTGTGCTAATTTCCTTTTTCTGACAAACATAATTTGTGGAATGTTTAAAAAAAGAGAAAAAATTCAAAGGGGGCTAATAATTCTGACTTCAACTGTTTTCTACTGTATGTATACCAACAGGTTATTTGACTGTATTTAAACACTGTAATGCAATCACCATAGGAGGACAAGCTGACACTCAGTTTTAACTGTTCACACAGTGTCTATGGTGTTCGGCGTGCCCACAGTTCACAGGCAGAAACAGAGTTATCTAGTGAACACACTCCAATCTCTGCTTTTTGACCTTTCCACTGCACAGAAGAAAGATATTGTCATTGTAGTCTTTGTTGCTGAGGTAACTTTTGAACCCTTGTGCTCTTTGCTCTCTTAAATCACTTCTGGCTTTATCTCTTTTATTGCTCTGTAAAGGTTTACATGGGTTTATGATATTACACCAGGGTTTTATTTTCCTTTTAACCTCTATGTTTGCTTGGGTATCATGGTCCATTTCTGTAATTTTCTTCTTTTTTTGTGTAATACTTTTTATTTAAGCTTTTTTTTTTTTTAAGCACCATGTTTTACCCCTTTTACAAGATAGTCTCCAGAATGTGTTTGTTATGTTTCAGCTCAAAATACCCATCAGATCATTTATCATATCCTGCAGAATCTGCCCATGTTGGTGTCTTGAGTACTGTGTAGCTGTTTTTGTAGCCTGTAGCTTTAAATACAGATGAGCTGCTTCTCCCCGCCCACGGTTCCCACGTGAGTGTCTGCTTCTCCTGCGTTACGTCAGATAAACAGCAGTCAGTGATAGAGACAGACACGGATGAAGCTGAAATACAGCTCAATAATCCAAAATACCATGTAAGCTTATCTCATATATTTGTGGTGGAGTTTATTCAAGCCTTTCTGAAATGATGAGTCAAACACAAAAGCCGTTTGCAGTACACTGAAAATTCACCAAATGTCTATATGGAGCATGCACTTTACATATTCCAGTGATTTTTAGCATAAATTGAAACGTGTGTCATTTTGACCTGTGCAATATATTTATTGTTATTCCCACAAATATATGCAACATAAAACCATATGTGGTCCACATATCATCAGCTGGTGTGGCCATTAATATAACTCATTCATTCATTTTCCTTTGGCTTAGTCCCTTATTTATAAGTGGTCGCCACAGCGGAATGAACTGTCAACTATTCCAGCATATGTTTTACACAGCGGATGCCCTTCCTGCCACAACCCAACACTGGGAAACACCCATACACTCTCACATTCACACACACTTATACTCTATGGCCAATTTAGTTTATCCAATTTCCGTATAGCGCATGTGTTTAGACTGTGAGGGAAACCGGAGTACCCGGAGGAAACCCACACCAACACGAGGAAAACATGCAAACTCCACACAGAAATGACAACTGACCCAGCCAGGACTCAAACCATCGATCTTCTTGCTGTGAGGCGACAGTGCTAGAGTCACCGTGCCGTTATCATTAATGTAGTTAACTTTATAATTATCTTTATAATATTGTTCTGGTGTGAATGGGACCTAATTAGTTTGTAGATAGACAGATTTTCTAGATCAGGGCTTCTCAAGTACCACCTCAGAAAAGAATTGTCTCTCCAAGTACCACTATAATGAGCAGTATTGAAATACAGTAGTGTAGTAGGCCCGATGAAGCAGCTACAGTACTGACAGTTCAAAAAACAGGCAGATTAATTCCTATTAAAATGTAATGTAATGTAATGTGTATTTATATAGCGCATTTATTGTGTATGGCCATACACCCAAAGCGCTTTACAATCATGAGGGGGGTCTCTCCACACCACCACCAGTGCGCAGCATCCACTTGGATGATGCGACGGATGCCACAGGACAACGGCGCCAGTGCGCTCACCACACACCAGCTATTGGTGGAGTGTAGAGACAGTGATCGAGCCAATTCAGTGGAGGGGGATGATTGGGAGGCCATGATCGTATGGGCCGATAGAGGGACTTTGGCCAGGACACCGGGGTTACACCCCTGCTCTTTCACGAGAAGTGCCATGGGATTTTTAATGACCACAGAGAGTCAGGACCTCAGTTTAACGTCTCATCCGAAAGACGGCGCCCACTGACAGTGTAGTGTCCCCTTCACTTTTACTGGGGCATTAGGACTCATACAGACCACAGGTTGAGCGCCCCCTGCTGGCCTCACTAACACCACTTCCAACAGCAACCTAGTGTTCCCTAGTGGTCTCCCATCCAGGTACTGACCAGGCTCAGCCCTGCTTAGCTTCGTGAGTAACCGGTCTTGGGCTGCAGGGTGATATGGCTATTAAAAATATTTATTATTGTCAGCCACTTTTAACATTATAAATAGTTTGAACATTAACACTGTACTATGCCTATATGTAAAAACAAACAAACAAACAAATAAAAATAAACATCATCATTTAAATCAAAATATGCTTTCAAAAGTTAAAAATGAGAGGTTACTGTTCTTAAAAAGTAAAAAACTTAAAAGTATTTACATATAGTAACTGATATATTAACACCTGGAAATGTTGCCTGGACCTCAGAAACATAAGCCCCTTTCACACAATGATACCGGTAAATATCTGGAAAATTTCCGTAACGACTTTACCGGTAAATTCAAAAAAGCGCTGTTCACACAGTCGAGGACGTTACGGAAATTTTCCAGAAAAGAGCATTCACTCATCCATTCCCAAATACCGGTAAATTCTGACATCATTAACCAGAAATGAGCTTTAAACGGCTGCACTTGTATTTTTAAACATTTGACTACATTACAAACTCTGTGGATGGATCTGTATTGTGAACAACTTCGATGAAAACATATGGAGGATCCCTTTCGCATGTCAAGATGTTCATAATATGTGTGTGCTGGCGTTCACGGCTGTTTCACGGGCACACACAAAGCTTGAAGGTAAACAAACAGCGGCTTATTATAAGCATCTTATCGATGATTATTTACACAGTTGGCATTAAGAAGAACATTCTACTTCTAGCAGCTAAATGTGTCTGGGAAAATATTCAAAGGCTTTAATTCTCATAAATCGCGCGGACGAGAATGCGTTTGACTGTTCTGATTGGCTAAAGCAGTCAGCACGTTCTAGACATCCACATTCTCGTCCTGGAAAATAGCCAGAACGAATTTACCGGTATTTTCAAAAAGGGCCTGTTCACACATACACACCTTTCCGAAAAATTGCCGGTAATTTTCCGGAAAGGTCTGTATGTGTGAAAGGGGCTATAGGCTGTCATCATATTCACACAAAAATGATTTTTGATAAACTTTGAAATATACATAGCATGTACATATGACATATTTGATTCCTCCGTGTACCACTAGAAGGAAGCCTGTGTACCACTAGTGGTGCATGTACCACAGTTTGAGAACCCCTGCTCTAGATTTTTGTCTGTTTGTTTCATCTTTGTTCCTCTGCTTAATGGTGCACTTTCTACGGGTCACTAATATCTTTGACTGTTTTTTCAGGTTCTTCTCTATTCTTGTTTTTGAATGAAAACACCTAATGATTATTTACATTACGCACTACTGTTAAAAAAGTTTGGGGTTGGTTGGTTGGTTGAATAAAATGTTTTCGAAAGGGGCCAGTTTCGCTTATTAATATCAAAAATAGAGCTCAAAGCTGTCATTTTAATATGTTAATTTTCCTCAGCTTAGTCCCTTATTTATCTGCCAACTGGCCCAGCCAGGACTCAAACCAGCGACCTTCTTGCTGTGAGGGGACAGTGCAAACCACTGAGCCACCGTGCCGACAACTGTAATATTTATTCA